AATAATAATAAAAAAAATAATACATTCTCTACTCTTCCAATGAAGCAACCATGTCAAATTTCAGCACATTTGGGAATGTATAGAATCTCAGCTGACCATGACTGTACTTTACGCTTGCCATCAACACAACAATCAGTCTTCAGGGGCCTTTGAGGAAGACTTTAGTACCTTGGGGTTATCATTTTATGTTCTAACAATGTCCGTGATAACCTTAAGGAAGCGGAGAGCGGAAGGTTGCGGATTCGATCCCCGACCGCGTCATACCAAAAGGCGTTCAAATATGGTACTTGTTGGTCTCTGCCTGGCGCTCAGCATTAATGGGTACAACAAGGACTGGTCGGCTCTGAGTCAGTATAATGTCGCTGAGTGGGGTATTCATGCTTCGGGCGGTGGGGTAGCCTAATGGTTAAAGCGTTGGCTCGTCACGCCGAAGACCCGGGTTCGAATCCCCACATGGGCACAATGTGTGAAGCCCATTTCTGGTGTCCCCCGCCGTGATGTTGCTGGAATATTGCTAAAAGCGGCGTAAAACCAAACTCAGTCAGTCAGTCAGTATTCATGCTTCACTGCGGCATGGTATCTCAGTGGGCTAGCACTATAAAACCAGCTTCAGTCTGGGCTAGTACAAGCAGCCGCACATACACATACACACGCATGCACGTCGTCATATGAGCGAAATATTCTCAAGCACGACGTTAAACCCAATTTCACCTCACCTTAAGGAAGCAAAATCTGTTGGTGTGTACCAAATGACCTAAATGGTACTTGATGTTACCCTGCCTGCATGAAAACGAGGAGAACAAGCTAAGAGTCAATATACTGTGTATGGGTATTCTTGTAAAACTGCACGCGGTATGGTAGGCTGGCATGATAAAACCTGCGTAGTGTAATCGGGATGTGTATAACCAACACCTTTGTATGTACACACACTACATGAAAGTAGTTCTCTTGCAAGCATCATCAAACCCATTTCATCTCACCTCACTCACGTAATTTGATCGTAAGACATTTATCACTTTGATGAAACCGTGAACAGAAGCTGGTGTGAGGTACAGACAAACCAATAAATAACTGGATTCAAACCTACACCAAATCTGGACCAGTCATACAGCAAACACAATCAATCAGTACTGTAGGCGAGGTGAAATTGGGTTTAACGTCGTGCTTGAGATTATTGCGCTCATATGACGACGTGCATGCGCGTGTATATGTATGTGTGGCTGCTTGTACTAGCCCAGACTGAAGCTGGTTTTATAGTGCTAGCCCACTGAGATACCATGCTGCAGTATAGCATGAATACCCCACTCAGACACATTACACTGACTCCGAGCTGACCAGTCCTTGTTGTACCAATTAATACCGAGCGCCAGGCAGGGACCAACAAGTACCATATTTTAACGTATGACGCGGTCGGGGATCGAACCCGCGACCTTCCGCTCTCCGGGCAGATGCTCTAACCACTACACCATGGAGGCTGTCAATCAGTACTGTAGATTATGACAACTGATCAGCTTCATTCTCATTGCCGTGGTGATGTCACCACCAGACATGCATTGTTGTTCATACCATCCACCACTGGTTTACCTGGCCACAGGTCAAGGACACACAAACTACCACAGCTTTACCCACAATAGTGTGACATACTGTTGATAAGCTAAATTTCAAAGACTAGAAAAACACTCTAAAAAAGGGATCGGCTTCTGTAAAGGTTGCACTTTCATCCAATTTATTTTTCTGTTGTAAACAAATGACATCAAGATGGCATGACTTCATGTGAACGAAAACAAAAGAAAGGACAGGAATGAAATTTGTGTGAGTCCAGTTTTAGGCCACTTTTAGCAACATTCCAACAATATCACCAGGAATGAGCTTCACACATTGTACCCATGTGGGGAATCAAACCCAGTGTGACAAGCAAAAGCTTTAACCACAAGGCTACCCCACCACTCCAAATGAAACTTGATGCAGTGACACATTATGGTACACTTACATATGTGCTCAGACAGATCATTCAGTTTGGACAAAAAGACAATTTACTACTTTGTTTTCGATAGTGATATATTTTTTTAGATCTTTATGTGATATATAAAACTGATTCTCCTGTCAAGTGTACACTTACAGAGACAGACATATCTGATAATTCCTATCCAAAGGTTTAGTGTAATAGTTTGTTGGCACTCAGACTAGCAGGGGTACATTTTCATTGAGACTGAATAACCCTTAACATCGACATCATAGTCAGAGTAGGAATTCATGACTTGAGAAATATATAAATATATACAAAACGATCAAACTTTCAACACAAACAATTGACATTTGAAGTAATATTTATTTACAATATTTATATTTTAATACAAAATCATAATCTCATCAACAGTTTCAAATGAGAATGTAACCATCGTCAGGAAATATCCAGTGTTTTAACTGAACAATAGTAATTGCCAGAACTAGTAGATTCAAGACACCAAGCACTTGAAAGCTGGCACTTGAGTGCAACTGAATATAATCATGACAATGTCTGAACAAGCTGTACATTCCAAAATGACTGGTAGGTAATATGACACATTGTCATTCACACCACCGTTTAACAGAACACTCACCATTTCAGGATTTGTTTGTTCTTAATGCCGCACTAAGCAATATTCCAGCTATATGGTGGTAGTTTTTTTTATCAAATCTGGATCAGACAATCCAGTGATCAACAGCATGAGCATCGATCTAGACAAGTGGGAACAAAAGACATAAGTCAACCAAGTCAGCGAGTCAGACCACCCGATCCCGTTGGTTGCCTCTTACAACAAGCATGGGTTACTGAAGATCAATACTAACCCAGATCTTCATGGGTCAGTTGTTCAGGAAGACTGACTGTAGGGGTGTCGCGATACGCGAATGTATCGATGCATCGATACATTTTACTGACGATACGATACGTGATACATCCTTGCGTGTATCGATTCCTATTTTAAAACTTTATCGATTCAATTTTTTATGCTATATCCGTCTCCATCAAAGTCTTGATAGTAAAATTATACCAGACCGCTCCGATAAATAGATGAAGCTAGCTTTACTTAAAAAAATAGGTTGGAAACTAACAGCTTTTGTGATTGGCTAGACTATTTTGATGGACCAATCAGCGAGCGCGTACGTTGCCGGTAAGGTAATGTTATGAAAAGGCGATAATTATGTATCGCGACACGTGCATCGTGTCGCGACCTTAAAATCGTGATAATGTGTAATGATCGTGATCGAAATTGGTGATCGTGACACCCTCTAACTGACTGACTGACTGAGTTTGGTTTTAACGCTTTTAGCAATATTCCAGCAACCTGACCGGGGACACCAGAAATGGGCTTCACACATTGTGCCCATGTGGGGATTCGAACCCGGGTCTTCGGCGCGACGAGCCAACGCTTTAACCATTAGGCTACCCCACCGCCCTGTTCAGGAAGAGCTGGTAGAGCCAGACAAAATATGTGTGATATTTTACCATATAATGGTGGTGTTTTACCACCTTTACCATGTTTTGTTTTTACCAATTTGCTAAGAGGAACACATTGTTTGGCAGGGATGATATGAAGTATGTGTAATTTTCCATTTGAATAAACAATAGATATTATTTACTACTCAAAGACCTTACAGAATGTGCGAATCTTTCATATTACTACAGTAAACCTGCCATGAATGAATATCTAGTATTATGACAGAATTGGATGTTCCCTGACTTCTATTGAGCAAGACATTTAATCAAACACTGAAAAATACATTACCTTTTTCTGGTCTTCTATTTTATTAACAATGTACTTCTCATCTCTCAGTCAAAAATGTTTACAAGTATTCATATAACATACCTTAGGTTAAGGAGTGAGTGAGTTTAGTTTTACGCCACACTCAGCAATATTCCAGCTATATGGCATCGGTCTGTAAATAATCGAGTCTGGACTAGACAATCCAGTGATCAACAGCATGAGCATTGATCTGCACAATTGGGAACTGATGACATGTGTCAACCAAGTCAGCGAGCTGACCACCCGATCCTGTTAGTCGCCTCTTACGACAAGCATGGGTTACTGAAGATCAAGATTCTAACCCGGATCTTCACGGCTAAGGATGGACTACAATACTTGGAGGAACATCTTTGTTTCAGTGAGAGTGACATTTTGGTGTAGGTTCTAACACCCCTATATAGCAAGTGATGCTTGATAACAGTGTTAGAACCTATAGTCTGTTTGCAGTGAAAACATACCGATGAATTTCACTTTAAACAAGAAAGTAAATCAAATAAAGTAAAATAAGATTGCGAATCCTCATAATTTTACCTTGCCAATTGAACATTTGAAACTCAGAATTTTATTCATCATAGAATAAAAGTTGTTTAACAAACGATCATAGATTCAAATCGCTATTATTGGTTTGTACAAGGGGCTAAGCGCAGTAGTTGGAACACTGAAACAAATGCACGTGTGGAAAGTGATGAGCCTTAACTTAGACCAGCCCTACTTGTTCTTGGTGTTTCATTTAATGTGCACACACCCTTGTAATACAAACCAATAATAACGATTTGAAATTATGATCGTTTGTTAAACACCTTTTATCCTAAGTTTAATAAAATTCTGATATTTAAATGTTCAGTTGGCAAGGTAAAATTATGTGGATTCTCAATCTTAATGTCACTTTATTCTATTTACTTTCTTGTTTAAGTGAAATTCATCGGTACATTTTCACTGCAAACAGACTATAAATCAAAAGGTCACACTCACTTCCATACTGCTCCACCTTCTATATGCCTTTCAAAGAAGTTATACCTTAGGCTGTTTACATATGCAGGAAACAAAACAACAAAATAACAGGCAAGTCATACAGTGTAGATATGGATGTTTTGTAACAATGAGGAATTCTCTTATAATTGTAGAAACATAATACATAAATATAGTGCTTGCATTTTTACATGATCTTTTGGATTCACTTCTGTCATCGACACTATTTGAAGTTATCTGCTCTTGATTTTCATAAGCTAGTTTGATTTGGTACCCAACTATCTAACATCTGAGTGAGTGATTGAGTGATTGAGTGATTGAGTGAGTGAGTGAGTGAGTTTTACGCCGCTTTTAGCAATATTCCAGCAATCTCTCTGCAGGGGACACCAGAAATGGGCTTCACACATTGTACCCATGTAGGGAAACGAACCCAGGTCTTTGGCTTAACGAGCGAGCGCTTTAACCACTAGGCCACCCTACCGCCCATCTAACAACTGAACCACGTCAGTGGCAAACCAGCATCAGCAACATGCTGGCCAGTCTCATTGACTGAAAACCTGACTGATATGCAAAAACAAATCCCTCAAAAATATTTTGTGATGTAAAGCAAGTCTTCATGTCCACCTCCCTGATTTCCTATTACCTCATCAACATTCCAGTGATCGTAAACTGCTGAGGAAAATCAAGGCAGGTAATTTGATATACATGCACCAAGAACCACAGAATATCTTAAGCCCTCGAGATATAGAGGATTGTAGTAACACTGTTAAGTATTTCTTTTAAATGCCTCCTGGAATCAATACTTCTGGAATTGTTGATGAACAAAATCCCAGCAGCAGCAACCATATACGAGATGCAGGATCTGCATCCATGCTTCCGGATAACATGACAAATAGTGATTTATTAAGGATTAGACACAAAATGCTCTTGCCAGCTATTCTATATTTTGCTAAAAAATTGGAATTTCTAACATTTTGATTCTATTTAATTATTTAAATTTTTAGCATGGAATGTGGAGAACTGAATTAAACAAGAGTCATCAGAAGATGACATATCCCCCCGGCCCCCACATCTTTGAAAGAACAAATCATCTGACAGTTACTTAAAGTCCAGCTTGATTTTAGACTTAGTGCAAATCGTTTCCATGGAAACCGAGAAAAATAAAAATGTCAAAAATCTGTAAATAGCAAAAGGCACCACTTTGGGATCTGCCTCACATATCTGCCAAGTTTTGCTGAAAGATATTAAGAAGTTTTTGTGCTGTGCTCCGGAAACAAAACCTACCCCTCCTTTTTGAGACTAAGTCCGAATTGTTTCCATGGAAACCAAGAAAATAATAAATCACAAAAATCTGCAAATACAAAAAGGCACCTATCTGCCTCACATATCTGCCAAGGTTTGCTGAAAGATATAGAGAAGTTTTCGAGCTGTGCTCCGGAAACGAAACCCACCCTTCCTTTTGGGACTAAGTCCGAATCGTTTCCATGGAAAGGAAAAATAAAAATGCCAAAAATCTGCAAATAGCAAAAGGCACCACCTTAGGTTATGTTTGACATATCTACAAATTTTTGTGGAAAAATATCGAACGGTCTTTGAGTTATGCTCCGGAAACAAAATGATTACGGACGAGGCGACAACTATATCCCACCGCATTACATGCCGGTGGGATAAAAATATATGAAAATAAGCATTAAAACCTCTTTCTCTTCCTTGAACCTGTTATCAGTGGAAGGCAGGGTACCTCTGCAAAGCCCCAAAAAGATGATTTTGTCTCTTGCTGTATATTTTCGTCAAGATGGATTTTACGAACTGCGGTTATAATGAACTAAAATTAGTGTCCCTTTGAGTGTCTCAGTAGTTTGCTGCAGAAAATTTATACTTCTAAACAGGGGATTTTTGCTAACTTTTGTTAAAGAGTGGTCTGAATATCTGCCTCAGAGCAGATACATACTGAATAGCCATGAACAAGCTACAAAATGTCCCCAATGCAGTATTTGCAACTTGTATTGAGATATTGTAAATTATTTTTCTGTTTTTCTGATTTTCCCTACTTAGCAAGCACTATAGTTTTAGAGAAACACAAGCCCCACAAAAGTAACAAGTTTGTCATAGTGTATTAGTGACTACTTGGCAAGATATTAACCCGAAGTTTCAGGTTTTGGGCGTTGGATAACATAAACATATTTAATATCAAAACATACCAAACATGTAGCACTGGTACAAAAGTCCTCACGATAAACTGAAACCACATGACACAATAAAAGTGATTTTTTGGGGAAATTTTAACTATAAATTGTATATTGCACCTCTCTCTCTTTTTTTTCGACCATGAGTGGAAACGAATTAAAACTTTGCTCAAGACCTACCTTGTCCCTGTCCCCGTGCTGTGCATGCCTTCCTGTTTCAGTCATGCTCACTAGTCCGTGACAGCACGTGGCATGCGCAGTCCTCACCCACGTGATCACCTCACATACTCATTCTCGATCTTGGAGCCATAAAAGGACAAACCGGGAACGGTGGTAATCTATGTAGTGGGGAGGTAGGGAGGGACTTTATCGCATGAGATAGGATAAGTACATAAATATACAATTTATAGTTAAAATTTCCAAATTTTTAAACTTATCCTATCTCACGACTTGCACTTATCCCACGGTAGGAAGGTGGGTCATAGATTACCCGAAGTTCAAGCGATAACAGCTAAGTGTTATGCCCAAACAACCGTAGGAAGCAACTACAAGGTAGGTCAATAACTACCAAGTTACTACGTGCAAGGGTTAGTGCGAACCCATTGACTTACTAAGCACAATTGCTCCCAGGGACCAAGATTCCCGAGCAATGTGGTGTTCAGTCAATACCTTCACAAAGTAAAAGGACGAGGCTTAACGAGTGTAATCAGTCGATCGCCATCGATTTCCAAGGTACCCCAGAATAAAAGTCTAACGACTAGTATCGGGCCAGCCCCCTGCTTCAAAACAACCCCAACAGACACCGTCTCCGAGGAGGGTGAAAGAGAAATTGAATCGGTAAAACTCACAATTTTAACGTTCAGTACCACAACATCATCTTATGACTTCCACTACTTACCCCAGTAAGATCACATAGATGTGTATAGGCACTTAGGGAGCATGAACGCTACGAAGTGTAACACTTCGGGAAGGACTCACTTCACTGACTTAATTACTCCGTGGAGCAGAGGACAGTAAGTGAGGTGGCAACTTTCTATAGTCTCAAACAAATGAGAGGAGAAATCTAAATCCCGGAAGAAATGAAGACGTAAATAAGAAAAAAGTTTTTCAGATTTATTCAGATTGTACACAAGCAGAAACGATCACGACTTGGGATCAACTGCACAGTGGGATCCATATAGCATCGGAGCACAAGGAAGTTCATTATCTGCGATGTTGTGCCGCTGATAACTGCTGGGCAAGGACGAGTGGTCCAAACTGATGAAGGCCTTGAATATCCGTCACCGACACATCTCTGAGGTAATGAGACGAAAATACCATGTCAGATCGCCAAAAACAACCCTCCATTATGGCAGTTAACGAGCAGTTGCTATGCAACGCCATAGTAGAAGCCAATGCCCTGGTTTCATGAGGGTTGACTGCCGTAGGTGGTGGCAAACCAGCAAAAGTGTAGGCTCGTAGTATTGTAGCTCGTAGCCAATATGAGAGTGTTGTGCGAGAGACTTCCGCCTTGGAAACAGTAGACAAGGGTATAAGTAGTCTCTTACGCAGACGGCGACGCTCTGCGATGCTTTAAAGTAAATGCGAAGTGCTCTGACTGGACAAAGAGACAGATCTTCGACATCTGCTGGATCCAATATGGTAGACAAAGGCAGGATTGTAAAAGGACGATCAGGTTGACCCTGCAACTGTTTTTTGCGACAAAATCCCAGCGCAATCCCCAAAATACCTTGCCATGTCTACTCTGTTCAAAACGGACACGGTTGACATCTAGAGCATGCAGTTCTGATATACGTGCCGCTGTGGCCAAGGCAATAAGAAAAAAGGTCTTGAATGAAACCTGTTCGAATTCCTTGTCCTGTAAGGGTTCATAATGCTCGGACACTAAATGGCGCAGGACCACGGATAAGTCCCAAGCTGGTGGACGAAATTTCCTGGATTGGTCGGCTAGCTTAAAAGAACGGCGTAAGTACTGCAGTTCGGTACTGTCGTAAAACCTTCCTACCAGAAGTCGTGGCTAGGACCAAATTAATAGCCGCCAAGTAGGTGGCTAAAGTGGAACCCTTGAGTTTTCTTGTAGCCCGCAAATGTTGTAAATATTCCGCAACAACCTGGGGCGAAGAAGTAGTAGGGGAAGCGATCCCTCTGACCCGACAATAACATTCAAATTTCTTCCACTTATCGTCATACAAAGAACGTGTAGGCGACGATGAGCTGCAGTGATAGCTGAGGCCACTCTGTGAGAATAACCTTTGGCTATTAGTGATTTCTGCAAATGTGCCATACGTGAAGATTGAACGCCTGTGGTGACTCGCGGATACGCCAGCGCGGATGAACTAGTAGGTCGTCCCGCACGGGAAGAGGAATGCTGCTTCGACTGACTAGACTTTTTAGGCTGACGAACCAACTTCTCGCTGGCCAAAATGGCGCTACCAAAAGCAGTTGTACTTTGTTGGTTAACAGAATTTTCTGAATGACCTTGTGAAGTAGAGCCGGAGGTGGTTATGCATAAGCGTTGAGACCTTCCCAGGGAAGGCGAAGGCGTCGTGATCCCAAGCTAGTGGATCTGGAATTGGAGATACGAATCTCGGCAGTTGGGAGTTGAACCGAGTGGCAAACAGGCTCGATTACCTCGTATAGAGATCGGGTAAATTATCGTCCGAAAAATCTTGGGCAGGAGTTGCCACTCTGTGGGCGACGGGCAACTGGAACGAGACAGAGCCGTCCGGCAATCACGCTCTTTGTTCCGGAATGTGCCTGGCTCTTGCGGCGATGTTGAGAGAATCTATCAGAAGATAAAACGAAACGCCCACTGTAGGAGTGCTGCTGAACCCGCCGACCCTAGCTGATTGATGTACCCACACTACCATCGACTTGTTGGACTGTATCAGCAGGGGGACATCTTGAGTAGAGCCGCACCAGTGCTGAATCGCCAGTAATACTGCCTTGAACTCCAGAATGTTTATGTGGAGTGACTTGTCTTCGGACGACCACTGCCCTGCCACTTGATGCTGAAGGAAGTGGGCCCCAACCTTCTAGAGAAGCCCACAAACAACTGATGGGTTGGACTGAAGGGCACCAAAGAGACGGCGCGAAACATTCTGCACGCTGAGCCGCCGACGAGAATTGGACGTAGTTCCCTGGGTAACCGAATCAACACCTGAGGGTTGTTGGTTTGAAGATGAGGGCGCAGAAATAACTGAAGCGGGCGGAGCTGCAGTTGACTTCTGTAAGTCAGAGCCTGAGCTGACATTAAGACGCCCAGCAACTCCTGCCACTGGCGTAGAGTTCTGGGGTGATCCAAGGTTAGCGGAACCAGACGCTGAATTTTGGTCCATCTGTCCTGGGGAACAAACAACTTGGCTTGTTCTGTGTCGAAGACTGCTCCTATGAACTGAAGTCTGTGAGTCAGTGTTAACTCCGACTTCTCGTAATTGAGGAGCCACCCTAACTGTTTGAGCAGCCTGATGGTGAACTCCCAATGGATTTGAAGAACGATTCGATCCTGTTGTGCCTGAATACAATCGTCGATATAGCTTTCAAGGTCACTCCCCGAGAATGCAGGAAACTGCTGATGGGTTTGGTCACCCGAGTAAAGAGCCACGGGGCCGTAGAGATTCCAAATGGAAGGACTTTCCATTGGAAGTGATGGCCCCCGAGGGTGAACTTCAGATACTTCTGATGATCTGGGTGAATCGGAATGTGCAGGTATGCATCTTGAAGATCGAGGGATATGAGGAAATCCCCTTTCTTCAGAATTGAGCGGAGAAGACTGACTGATACCATGCGAAAATGAGGTTGTTGTTGCAGGAATCGAGCGTTGAATGTCTTCATATTGAAGATGAGACGCAACTTGCTGGAGGTTTTCTTTGACACCAGAAAAATCGGGGAGTAAAATCCTGGAGTTATGCACACCTGATCTAGGTGTTCTATCGCATGTTTCTCCAGTAGAGTTTGGATTGTAGTCGAAAGGACTGCAGCCCGATCCAGAGGATACATTTGCTGCAAGGGTTGAATGGTGAGGGGTGGATCCCCGACCACAGGCAGTCGATAGCCGTGAATGAGAGTCATTGTGACAAATGGATCTCCGAGAAACTCCCAGTTGGGAGCAAACAGACCTAACCTCCCTCCTACAGGGGAATCGAACACTGGAACCGGCGGAACTAGTAGAACCAATCCGAGCTCTGATTTCCGTGAGTCACTGTTTGGACTGTTTGTTTCCAGTTCCAATGTCATGTCGAAAGGGGCGACGTGACGCGGAACCACGAAATGGCTTCTTGCCCCTGCCACGTGCTTGAGACGGCGCCGAGCCTTTCATACAGTCCCGAAGGTCTGGGTTGGCAGGGGTAAAATGTGCGGTTTGGCGATGCCGCATAGAATCCTGGAGCTGAATTTTTTGCAATTCCAAGAGATCGACAGATACTTGAAATTGGTTAAGACGGTCCACCTTGGATGCGATGTCTGCAATAGCCCCACTGAACACTGTATCCCCCGACCAAGGTTGACGAAATAATTCAGCCTTGAATCTATTTTCCCATGAGAAGATTCAACGGGCCCTGACGTCGTATGGCATGTAAATAGCCAAAGAAATGAGACAGTTGCTCTAAGACCACCTGGAATTGGTCTAAAATCAGAGCCATACTTCCCCTGATGTATGCGTCCTGGTCCGTATAGGCATGATTGACAGCCTCCGCCACCGCTGGCCAACAGCCAAATAATGCAGCTGATGGAAGGGATAGAATGGCTAACCGTAGTATCTAAGTGAGCCAATTCCTATATCTTCCACAAAAACGGCGAACTGGAACGCTTTGCCACAGACCATGGAAAATCGCCATCATCAACGGAAGGTGCCGCTGACCAAAGTTGAACACCATGAGTATGCTACTATCGATGGTCGGAACCTTGAGAGCAGACAAACCATCCTTCGTCCTTCTAAGCTTGTTGAAAGCCGCGTCAAGAGACGGCTGTAAATGTCACACATGGACGAAAGGAAGTGTGATACTGGAAACATCTCTATTAGTCATGGCATAAGACGTGGCCAAATCATCTGGAGATTTACTAAGAGGTAGCTGAAGTTTTTCAACTATCCAGGTTAGCACGTGAGCCGGTTCAACAACATCAAAACTGCCATCAGGAGTGGAGATGTCTGACTGCCCAGGTGAAGGTAAAGTAGTCTGGGATCGAGTCCGATCCCTTAAATCCACAGAACGGTTATTGCTAAGTACGGCAGACGATTGTTGAACATGTGAAGACGAACGACACTGATTCCAAGCCAACGTAACAGCACGAAGCATGGTATCTAAATCCGGCGCTGGAGAGGAATCAAGAGTAGGATTCCAAGACTCAGCAATAACCTGTGACCGAGGCAAATTAGAAGTGGTATAGCGTGAAGGAGAACGCTGATCCACTGAAGCATAACGCTGCCTAGCAGGTGAAACCACCCGTACAGAACGACGTTGCTGAGGTGTACTATCATGTAAAGGCACTGACCGTAAAACGTCACTAGCACTAGGCTGGCTAGAGGGGATATTCTGATTCACCTGAGGTGAATGAGGCCGACTTCTAGTATCCCTCTGACGCAAAGACACCATGCGGTTAGGTGAAGCGGATCCAAATGGTGAACCACTAGGTGAGACTGAACGACTACGGGAATCAAAACGCTGTGGTGAATTGATTCGGCTGTGAGATGGTGAGTCGAACGGAAGCACATGTTGAGGGGAATTGAGTCAGGAATGTGAACCGGTTCGTCCTGGTGAACCAATTTGAGTACGTGAAACAGTACGGCCAGATGAACCCATTCGACTACGTGAATCAGTTCGATCAACTGAACCCATTCGATTACATGAATCAGGTCGGTCAGGTGAACCCATTCGAGTATGTGAACCCATTCGAATATGTTCTGGTGAGCCGGTTCGGCAGGGTGAACCGGCTCAGGAATGTGAACTGATTCGTCCTGGTGAACCCATTCGATTGCGTGAATCAATTGGGACTGGTACATTGGAAGGCCGACAAGAGCTCAAGTGTGAACGAGATCTAGAACGACTCCTCCCAGCAGTGGAAGAACGCATTCGAACCTTCGCACCAGATGGTGACTCAACTCGTGTGGGTGAATTGTTTTGGTGAGATGAAACCGTGGGAAGGGGAGAACGGGTACGTTCCAACCACGCCGATCCCCGCTTTGATGATGAATGCTTAGAAGTTCATGAAGTCTGTGAACGTTCCGAAGAAACAGACCTACGAGATAATGTAGATCGCAGGTCTTGCGTAGAAGAAATATCTGTCATTAACACCCTGGTACGCTCATGAGAACTTAAACTGGGTGAGGGAAGCTCCCCAAAAAGCCTTTTAACGTTCTCAGACAAATAGGAATCCGACGAAGCGTCCAGAAAATCCTCGTCAGGAGACACAGGCGATTTAGACCGGTGAGCAGTGACGGTGGGGCGATCTAAACATTGTTTCTTAGCAGGAGATGGATGAGACTCGCAGAGAAGCATTCCTGACCCTATCTGCCAAACGCCTGGCACAAGCACGCTTGTAAGATTTTAACTTCATTAGCAGTCCGAACACTTATGACAACGAAAGGTACCAATCACAAAACCCATTGACAATCAACACACGATGTGTGTGGGTCCCATGCTGAGAAGACTTTATTACAACGGCCGCAAAACTTTCGTTTACTGGCCTGAACTGGCTTAACCATTATGAGCAATTCTCAGACGAAAAAATGTTCACGTCCACTCAGTGGAGCGACAAGAAAGAGAATGAGTATGTGAGGTGATCACGTGGGTGAGGACTGCACATGCCTCGTGTTGTCATGGACTAGTGAGCACGACTGAGACAGGAAAGCATGCACAGCACGGGGAGAGGGACAAGGTAGGTCTTGAGCAAAGTTTTAATTCGTTTCCACTCATGGTCGAATGAAGAGAGAGAGGTGCAAGTCGTGAGATAGGATAAGTTTAAAAATTTAATAACTGAAACAAATAATAAAACAAAGAATAACTCCATTTTGTGCTCCATTTGTTTCGAGAACTTCAGAGGCAAACTGAAAAGACCCTGACGTCAAAACACTATGCAACCCAAAAGATGTTTTCGGACAGTAATCATTTACATGTATCACAGAGCAATAGAAATTGTCCTGATTCAGCACTTTGTATTCGAGGACTCGAAGTGCATCCTCTGCATCTCGTACACTGTTTCATCCACGCCAGGACATCAAGAACCTGTGTGATATCTATCTTGCTGCTACTCCTGCCCGTCACCGATGTACTGCTCTATTGCAGATATCCGGGCATTCATTGATACGATGACTGTCTGGACCTGAAACACCAAATATCATAATAATGATAATAATGTGTACGTCTATGGCGCTAAATTCCATACCAAGTGCATGCTCAAAGCGCATACAAATAGACAGTTCATTATTACCCTGGATAACCCAAACTGCCACTGAGGCGCTAGAAGGTTATAGTCACATGACTTATCCTACCGGTACCCACATTTTGTTCGGGTGAACCACAACAATCAGATGTGATGCTCAAATACCGATTATGTTGTTACTCTTCACCATCAACCCATCATGTTATTTCTCATTTAGAAATATAATTACATGTATTTTTAAACGGATTAAGTTGACCTATATTTTTGCTGAAAAACCCAACAACATATGAATGTATAACTACATTAAAAGTATTGTTGAAGAGTTTTTAGCTTTCTCTGTATTTTGTCATTCAAATCAAATACTGATGACAGAAATTAGGACACTGTGATGATTTTGTTGTTGATTGTTTAGTTTAATAATGTACTCAGCAATATAATGTTGGATTGTAAATAATCAAGACTGGGTGAAACAATCCAGAGGTTGATATTGAGAACAAGAATCTGCACCATTCGGTCATGACGACATTTTCATGAAACAAATTACTAGTCTGACCACCCGATCCATTAGTCACCTCAAATGACCTGCATAGATTGCTTGGGGCTTGGGGCCTATTCTCACCCAGATTCCTGAGAGGGATGATGATGATGATGATGATGATGATGATGATGATATTGTTATTCTAAGGACCAACTTATCACATATTAATCACACTGTAGATGATGATGATGATGATGATGATATTGTTATTCTAAGGACCAACTGATCACTTACTAATCACACTGAAGATGACATAAAATTCTGACACTGAACATTTACCTTCAGTATGTCTGCCTGCAGCCTGGCCAACAGAGGCAGTTTAGCATCATCGTCTGGTATTTGGACCGATCTGCAGCTCCCAACCTCATAGCTGAAAAATACACCACACAACAACGGTTAAATCAACAAAAACAAAACAACTTTGTTTGTTGCTCAAAGCTGACTCAACAATATTACAGTTTAATCATGGCTGCCTATAAATTATTTAGTCTGGACAAGGACACAACGCTGATTGATCTTATGAACAATCTCACATTCACAATCAACAGGCAAGGTAACAACAAGTTGCATCTATTAACACATCTTTGAATAATGCCTCATGGAATCAAGCCACTGGCATTCTGCCAAATCCAAGGTGAGGTGAAAGGGATTTAACAAAATGTTTACTTATATTGCAAAGTGCCTGTATATGTGTGTGTGTATGGCTGCTTGTATTAGACTGGACTTAAGACATTATAATATAGTGCAAGCCCATTGAGATACTTCACTGCTGTTTAACAAGGAGACCTAACTCAGACATTATACTGACTCCAAGTCTTATCAGTGAGTGAGTGATTGAGTGAGTGTGTGAGTGTGAGAGAGGGCGTGCGTGCATGAGTGAGTGAGTTTAGTTTTACACAATATTCCAGCAATATCATGATGGGGTACACCAGAAATGGGCTTCACACATTGTACCCATGGTACTTCGACATGAAGAGCAAATGAATTAGCCACTAGGCTATCCCAACGCCCCTGGTTGGTGTGTTGTTTAACACCTCTCAGCAATGTTGCAGCTATATAGCAGTGGTCTGTAAATAATCAAGTCTCAACCAGACAAGTCAGTGATCAACATCAAGAGCATCGAACTACGCAATCGGGAACCAATGACATGTGTCAACCAAGTCAGCGAGTCTGACCACCCGATCCCGTTAGTCGCTTCTTATGAAAGCATAAGTTGCTGAAGACCTCAATTATAACCTGGATTTTCACAGTATTTGATACAGAGAGGTGAAGTGAGGTGACGCTCTAACCACTGCGGCCACGGAGGCAGTCTGATACAGAGAGCCATAATGAAGGTAACACAAGATGGATGTAGAACAGCTGCACCCACCTGGACATCTTGGACACAAAGAGGCTGTACCGGTCCCTCATAGCATCTCGGTTCCTGGTAGTTGTCTTGTACATTCTCCCGATCCCCTCGTTACACCCTCGGCAGTACAGAGGAACAAACGCACTGCAACAGGAACAACATACCAACGTCAACACTTCAACCCAACAGTTAATGTCTACATAACTTTAATATTGAAGGAGCTTGGATTCATGATACCATGAACAGCATTTCAGTTATATCACTGAAGAGATGCCGACCTCAGAGGTTTGTTTACTAAGTTGGTGAAACCCATGGAGGCTGACATGATACTGACAAACCAAGAAACAGGATCTGAAGCCACCTTTTAAGTATCAGGAACACCTGGGGGACAAGACTCTGCACATATACTTCTGGTGCCTTAGAGAACAAGGCAACTAACAACTATATTAACAACAGTTTTATAATGCGATCTATATGTATCAGGGCTTTACATAGCTCTTCGAAACTGGGACTCTGGGCATATTTCTTGAGAGTCCATTTCCAAAATTGGGAGTCCATCAATCTCAGATGTGCATGAAATCAACGATTATGGATGTGTCCCATTTGATGATGATTATGTTATAAGGTGTGTTACTTCAATGGAAAAACAAAACGCCTTTTCGCAGGTGATCTGGATAATGGCGCTATATAAATAAATAAATAAAAATAAAATTAGAATAATGATTGTAAACAGAATGTTTATATACTTCCCATCAAAAGTTTAGACTCACTAGTGTAAATGTAGCCACATATTTCAGTCAACTGTTTTAAACTAAATTTTGCAAAATATTCCATACTGTTTAAAGGTACAGTTCACACACGAACTGATGTAGTGTAAAACAAATTTAGTAACGTTGAAAAGATTATTGTCATGAGTTCAATAAATGATTTTAGTTTTGGGGTACTTCATCAAATTTCTGCATCCAAAACACAAGAATCACGTGTCCTGTAAAACCCTGACGTATGATTATGTAGTCTTTATTGCTGTAATAGGTTCAAGCATTGAGAATCATCTTTTTGAAAAACGTGTTCTCTTTAGAAATAACACGTTGAAACAAGAGTCATCAGAAGATGACATATCCCCCCGGCCCCCACATCTTTGAAAGAACAAATCATCTGACAGTTACTTAAAGTCCAGCTTGATTTTAGACTAAGTGCAAATCGTTTCCATGGAAATCATGAAAAAAATAAATGACAAAAATCTGCAAATAGCAAAAGGCACCACTTCAAGATCTGACTCACATATCTGGCAAGTTTTGCTGAAAGATATTAAGAAGTTTTTGAGTTGTGCTCCGGAAACAAAACCTACCCCTCCCTTTTGAGACTAAGTCCAAATTGTTTCCATGGAAACTGAGAAAATAATAAATCACAAATATCTGCAAATAGCAAAGGCACCACTTTAGGATCTATTTGATATATCTACCAAGTTTTGTTGAAAAATATTATATACGGTTTTTGAGTTGTGCTCGAAACTAAAGCAATGATTACTTTTGAGACTAAGTCCAAAATGTTTCCATGGAAACCGGAAAAATAAAAATGTCAAAAATGGCAACAGCAAAAGGCACCACTTAAGGTTCTGTTTCATACATCTACTAAGTTCTGTTGAAAAATATTGAACACTTGAGTTATGCACGAAACGGCCCACCCTCACTTTTTGAGACTAAGGGCTCGTTTCCATGGAAACCGAAAAGTAAAAATACTAAAAATCTGTAAATAGCAAAGGCACCACTTTAGGATCTGATTGATATATCTACCAAGTCTTTGTTGAAAAATATATGCGGTTCTTGAGTTAACGAAACCCACCCCTTCCTTTTGAGAATAAGTCTGAATCATTTCCATGGAAACAGAGAAAATAATACATCACAAATATCTGCAAATAGCAAAGGCACCACTTTGGGATCTGCCTCACATATCTGCCAAGTTTTGCTGAAAGATATAGAGAATTTTTCGAAGTTATGTTCGAAACTAAAGCAATCCTTACTTTTGAGACTAAGTCCAAATCGTTTCCATGGAAACCAGGAAAAATAAAATGCCAAAAATCTGCAAATAGCAAAAGGCACAACTTTAGGATCTGTTTGATATATCTACCAAGTTTTGTTGAAAATATCAAACGGTTCTTGAGTTATGTCTTCGAAACGAAAAGCAATCCTTACTTTTGAGGCTAAGTCCAAAATGTTTCCATGGAAACCAGGAAAATAAAATGCCAAAATCTGCAACAGCAAAAGGCACAACTTTAGGATCTGTTTGATAAATCTACCAAGTTTTGTTGAAAAATATTGAACAGTTCTTGAGTTATGCCCGAAACCATTACAGCAATCCTTACTTTTGAGACTAAGTCCAAAATGTTTCCATGGAAACCAGGAAATGAAATGACTAGTAACAATGATGATCTATGAAAAGGTTTAAACAGTGACTGTCCATTTCAGTAGATATATTTTCACAATATTATTAAAATGGTTATAAAGCATACCTTCCACAGTTCGGGGAGGACTTCAGCTTGTCGAGAACTTTGACTTTGTCTGTCACTTCTGAAAGTAGAGTGTTAATGAGAAAGTACCATCACAGTCAGTTCGTTCATTTTAAATTTAAAATTTTCTGTGTGAACTGTGTACTCTTATAACTCAATGTTTTTTTTATGATGGATGCCAAGGCAAATAAAGTCGCATGCCACCCTCCAGCACATTGATATTAGACAAACATCATTGCCAAAAGCTAATTGGCATACTACGTGACCAGACTTTTCTCTTGTTTGCATTCTGAAATCAGAACAGACTGGCCAAAAGTAAGGCTTTTGATCAGACATGAGAACGGCAAAGCACAAAAGACACTGAAAATTTAGTCAGGGGACTTGAGGGGTCTTTTATTGCAGATTCACATCGATCTAAAAATGTTGAAAATGAAACAAAAATCCCGGAAATCTCATGTCTGTTTGTTCCACTTTATGGATTGCATTGCATATTTACATAGATAAGCTAAACCAACTTGGGAGGTGTATGACAATCCATACTTATAAATCAAAATGCTTTGATTGTTGTTTGATGCCGCACTCATCAATATTCCAGCTGTATGGCAGCTGTCTGTAAATAATCAATTCTGGACTAGATAATCCAGTGATCAACAGCATGGGCATCAGGGGTGGAAATAACCCATTACCCGACGTCCGAGTCCAGTGTTTTTTTCTGTTGGGCAAGCAAATTTGTATATCACACTGTACTGGTGTCCAGTTGACTTTCCAATGTTAATTATGTTGTTGATTTAAAAAATCAACAAGAAAACAGCCGGTATAGTGGGAAAATTATCAGGGCAAGTGATTTTACATGTGCCACTGTATCGGAGTACACTGGCACTTTTAAATTTATTTCCACCCCTGGGCATTGATCTATGTAATTGGGTTACGATGACATCAACAAAGTCAGCGAGTCTGACCACCCGATCCAGATAGTAGACAAGCATAGGTTGGTGAAGACCAATTCTAACCCAGATCTTCATGGGGTTTATACATCAAAATGACTATCACTGATTCACTGGCTCTCCATGGGGCTACAGCACACAGAGCCTTACAACCAGTGTAAACAGGATAACTGTACGAGTCACGTTTTAGAATATTTTCTCAATGAGAGTTAAGCATTCTATCAATTTATGTTTATTTATTTGTGTAAAGTTGTCCAAAATGAAATACACATGCAATATCTACTGCACTGTGCAAAATGTGGCGAACTGTCATCTACGATAGCCTCTGGCAGAAATACTATGCTGCCTGCATTGGTAATGTAATTCATCGCAACGGGCCAAGTGTTGATTTCGGAGATTCACATGATCAGTGGTAATGCTTCGTCTGAATCAGAGTGCGAAATAGTTTCAAAATTTTGCTTGCCAGTCGATATGCCTGAAGGTTACTAGCCCACAAATTAAGTCACTTGTCCAAAATTTGAATGTAGATACAGATTTCATCATTAAGCTGCTAACACGATGAACATTTTTATAAGGCCATAATCATGCATGGCTTAAAAGTGTGTTATAACTTAAGAAGTCGGAGAGAGTTATTTACAAAATGACCCCATGACAATTCATTAGCAAGTCAGGCCAGTGACTACGCAGATTTACTGGCTTGTCTGGATTTGTTTTTACTAGCCAGTAGTAACCATGGGCTAGCGGTCCAGCGGCTATTTCGCACTATGCTGAATACAATGCAAGTTACTAACGCTGAAGAGTGATGGTTTTCAAAGTTTCATCCGAACAGACCCACGTCGTGGAGTCACCAAGTATACTTCTGCAATTTTCGCATTGAAACACTAATGTCGGGTCATCCACTGACTCTGACATTGCGTTTCGTGATACATTGTCTAAGGCTATGTCGTTATTTGTCTCCGAAGTGCTTAGATTCATGTTAGAGAACGCTGATTTGGCAGCTGTTTACTCCTTTTTGACGTTCCCGCGGAGCCAGTCATAGGTTAGCTCTGCCTCTCTGCACAGTTTCGTATCTGAAAAGACTATTTTCGTAAAAACATATTTCACATGTATACCTGTTTCCCGGTCCTCTGTTGATGTAACAGACTACACTTAATTCCATCGTAATTTGAAACTGTTTATACTAATATTCGTTGTGCATAGCTTTCATTATGAAACAGATTTGTACATCCCAGAAAATATTGATACATCATCATCATACTCTCACACAGAAATAATTCTTTCAATTTCGTACAGGATGTGAGATAATGTTGTTCCTACAGTTTTCAATGTGCGATGTCTTACGATCACGCCAATATTTAAATAGTAATTACTATCAATCAATCTTTATTTCTTTGTAGTGGAGGCCATAGGCCCATTCTACATTTCAGGATTTCAGAGCGGTACATATGTGCATATGTAGATCTGAAGACAATAAGTTAATTTACAAATATACAAAAGGAAATATGATATTATTGGCATAGAAGTGAATCTCTAAGTTTCATTGCCTTGCGTATATAAATAGCTAGGTTTTTTACAGTAACTGGATTGCCAGTTGACATGAGCATATTAAACTTGTGAATAGTGGGATTTGAATAGAATTTATGTGGTAAATACAAACACCTCAGGTTTTGATAACATTTACATACCCAAATAAAATGAAATTCATTTTCAATGAAGTTATCTTTAAATACAAAATATAATCTATTTGATCTGGGTTGATTAATATATCGACCGGTTTCAATTTGGAGGCGGTGTGAAGAACATCTGAATTTAGCAAGGGCCGATCGGAATTTTGAAATTGATAAGTCTTTTATGTAAAATTCAACATTAAATGAGATTTTAAAACAAGAATAAAGTGAAAATTTAGGACTATTTTCAAGCGATGTGTGCCGTTCTTGTTCACATCTGGCTCTTAGTCTAAAAACAAATTCTGATATGAATTTATAAACATTACATGAATTTTGCTGCTGTTCCCAATAAATTAGTAATTACTATTGTGCATAATACATATTTCATGTCAACTTATGAAACGAAGGATACTATTCACAAAAAGTTTTGACTGCCTCACAAAAAAGATATGGTTGACTCGAATTATTGTAGGAAAGAAGGGTTTCTCCCTTAAACTTGAGTATACATACATCCGCATTATCTGGTGCAGCTTGCAGGTGTCTTATACATCGTGTTTGTTTGTTTGTTTGTTTGTTTGTTGTTTAACGCCGCACTCAGCAATATTCTATCTATATGGCGCAGTCCGTAAATAATCGAATAATCCAGTGATCAACATCATGAACATCAATCAATGGGATAACGCAAAATCTGGGTTACATGATGAACATGTTCTTCACCGTCAGCGCAACATCAGTCATATCCTTAATCGTTTTACACAAGAACTACACAAACCGAAACATGAGTCTCATTAACCTATTCAGACAATGACATGGATCCGATGCTGAAGAGAGACACCACAAAGATTCTGAATCCCAATTCCTTGTTTCAGGATTCTTCTTTACATCGGTGTTTTACAGTTGTAGGCCATTTAACGACGCTCCCCTGGGTCGTATACAATTCAAAATTCATCTGCATCAATGTGTTCTTTGCGCATATTTAATGTAGTTTTGTAACGGTAGTTTCAAGTCCGTAATCGACAGAGCCTTTGAATTTCCACGATTTCCGTTTGTGAGAGCTCGCTGTATACAGAGCACGCTGCACGACACTACACGTAGTGTTGCAATATACAAGTGCTTAGGTGTATCAAATGATACTGATTAATATTTATGTATCCAGTTGAATGAATTGGTCTCAAAGTTCTGGACTGGTTATTGTACTAAGTTGCGCAATAGGACGGAACCTAGTCAGCAGGAAAGGAGACTGTTGTGTAATCACTGTTTTGACTTGCACTGCATTTTACTGTATCTTTTACTGGAATCACGAGAAATGTGAAAATGTGATAAAAACATGAAATTCATTCGGAATAAAGTGAGGATCTTAATAATTATTCATGAAACGGGTTTATGGATTCCAGCTGAGGTAGGTGTCAACCCGATTAACATTTAAACACCTAATCTGAGAACTAATTCATCTGTTAACTCAAGATAAAACAACGGGACTCGGGATAAACTGCTCTGTTACTTCATAAAACAGACTTGTCACTATCTTGAAGACCTCCGCCCCACATAAAGAGCCTCTCAATCTGAACATATTCAGATCGTGATATCGAAATAGACTGGCAAAAAAGCCAATCGAAATAGACTGGCAAGAAAGGCCAATTGTTTATCTTTATGCCGCTGTGATCAACAAACAAACAAACAAACACACAAACAAACAAACAATAAATATTGCACGACATAACAGTTCATGTACAAATATTTTAGGGGAAACAATTTAAATCTTTAAATTGGGGACATGTTTCAATAATAAATCGCTGTTTATTAGTACATACTGCCAGATTCCGAAATGGAATGATGCATGGGAGGAATTCGCAATTTAAAAAAAAAAATCATAGAAAACAGTGTTATAATTTGTAATATAAAATATATTATTTTTAAAAGTGTTGGACATTTCATTACATTTTCGCCCCTCCCATGTAGCATAACAATAGCAGGTTGAGGCTGTTGAAATATACTCACGTACAAAAGAAGGTATACACCGGAGTTTGGGGATTATTGTCCCAAAACGACGTAAACATTTTGAAAAGTGTCTCTATGGTGACTTATTGGGATGGGATGTCATGGAATTCATGATTCTATTGAATCGAACGTGCATGTGCGAACAGTATAAATCAGATGGTCGAGATTGTTAGTGGTGAACCAGTTAAAGGCACATATCCAAATGCCAAGAATAACAGCGACCCAGCGAGTGCAAGCCATTGAAGCGTTGCAGATTTATGGGTCGGTGTTGCGGACAGCCTTATTGCCAAAATACCTGTGAAGATCCGGGTTAGAATTGGTCTTCAGTAACCCATGCTTGTCGTAAGAGGCGACTAATAGGACCGGGTGGTCAGGCTCACTAGCTTTTTTGACATGTCATCGGTTCCAAATTGCATAGATCGATGCTCATGCTGTTGATCACTGGATTGTCTGGTTCTGACTCGATTATTTACAGACCGCCGTCATGTAGTTGGAATATTACTGAGTGCGGCGTAAACTATACTCACTCACTCCTTATTGTCAGAACTTCCGGCTGTACAAGACACGCTAACTTACTTGATCGATGCTCATGCTGTTGATCACTGGATTGTCTAGTCTAGACTCAATTATAGGTTGAATATTGATTGAGTGCGGCGTTAAACAACAATCGGTACCAGTACTAGAACAGATTTAATTTCTTCTGGTAAAATGTACTACTGTCCTACTGTACACTGTCACATCTTCTGAACAAAATGTAGCTAAACATAATATGCTCAAACTAATTATTTGTTTTCGTGAATTTAAACACTGTTGGTGTCATATCCAGTCTAAGTAAACTTAGGCTCAGTATTATTTGTTACACTGCCATACTGAGACTAGGCTCAGTATTATTCGTTACACTGCTATACTGAGACTAGGCTCAGTATTATTTGTTACACTGCTATACTGAGACTAAGTATAGCAGTGTAACAAATAATACTGAGCCTAAGTTTACTTAGACTGGTGTCATATCTGAGATAATTGAGAATAACGGTTTTTTTTAAATGATATATATTTTAGCTATGTATATGCCCAGTGTTTATAGCATAAACAAATATATATATAAAACGACCTATGATATTTTGCAAAGCACTGAAATAAAGGGGGACGCGATTTCAACATATCCTCTTATCTGTCTTCAACCTGAAGAGTAGGTCCCTTAATTGTTACAATCTCCATCAGAGGTTCTGCTTTAAATATATATAACTACATGTAAAAGTGTGTACAGAAAATAGTATATAATCGAAACCTCATTTCTGTAATTATATCTTACCAGAACACGAATATTACATACAGAAGGGTGAGTTTAATTTCTATTATACTACCAAATGTTATGTTGAGTTCTTACACTTCAAACATTAAAAACTATCGAACGCTAAACTTTTAATGACAAGCTCTGCTTGACTGACCTTCACTTCCGGAAACCGTCCCCGACGGAATATCGAGATTGTGTCAAAACTATTTGGGGATATTATTCGATCATCATGGCTTACTCATAATGGCTGTGTCACTGTTTTCGTGTAGATGATGATCCGGCTTCTAATCAGATAACGCTCCGGCGTCATGGGGTGTATTTTCTCACACGTTCAAGTATTATTTTCAAAGTCCGAAGACCAAAAAGAAACATCCATGTTCAGTCGAAAGAGTCGCAGTCGGGAGGTACTGATTCAGTCGCAGACGAGCACAATCCTCACCCCCGCCAAACAACGTGGGGGTGGGTCTAGCAAAGTTCCATACTCGTCTCTTGAAGAACCTAGTGGTGAAGTAACTTTAGAGGATGCCGTTTCCCGGAGGGATAAAGAACTTCTACAACGATTGATTTTGACAGGTGCGTTCCAGCTCGCCCCGTTCAACATACGCGAAAAGAAGAAGAGCAATCCGGTAGAATTAGCATGCAAATTGGGGTTCACAGACATTGTTGAAGTTTTTCTTGACAATGGATGTAGTCCAAACCTACCAACATCTCAAGGAAGGTTAATTCATTCTGTGTTGGAGGGAATGAAATGTGAGTCTATATCTCTAGAACATGGACGACGACTGATTCAATTGCTCTGCAACAGTGGCTGTGATGTTAATATCAAAGATGCACGATACACATCCACTCTGATGTATGCATCAGAACTTGGTGATACAGTTGTGCTTGACATTATTCTACGACACTGTTCCACATCGCAACTATATTATCAGTGTGGAGGGAGTTCATATACACCTCTCCACATGTCAACAATGAGAGGGGATTCTGAGTGTGTACGACAACTGTTGAAATATTCACCAAGTAAACATGTGAATATTCGTGACCACTATGGTAATACTTCGTTGGTCCTCTCATTAAAAACAATGGAAAATAATTTGAAGTACTTAAACTCAGCCAGAAAAGACATGGATAGTGACAATAATGCCCAGCGGTGGCTTAAGGAGAAGGAAAAATTACTTCGTTTCCAACATTGTTCAGTGTCAATAGTGGAAAGTTTGCTGTTAGCAGGTGCAGATGCAAATATGAATTGCCGAGATGGTTTGTCTTCTCCTTTATTTCATGCCCTCTATTTGTGTAGGCTGGATGAAACAAATGGATTTCAGGACGAATCTGGCTGCCATGGTCTTGAATTTACCAACACAATGCATTTAGTTTCAACAGAAAAGATTCAGAACTTGGAAAAATTAGTACAGATGCTTCTCATGAACCACAAAAATATTCCGGTGTTGGACAGGAAACATTCTCTTTATATGCAGGCGTAGTGCGCTTGCTTATGCTCTCAGGTGCTGAAATTAACACACAGAAGGAAACACTGTTCTCTAGATACCCATCACTCACTCCATTACTGGAAGAAATCTTTGAGTTCTGGACCAGGTACCAACACACAAAACCACCAAAGTTGATGCATCTTGCAAAGCAGACTGTGAGGAACCATTTGGCGTTGTTACAGAAACTTCATGAACTTGATAAACTCCCACTTCCAGAGAGATTGAAGAACTATGTTAAACTAAACTGCTTGTAACCATGGTAACTGACCTTGCTTGTGTTTTTACTAGATATTATAGGATAGGAATAACCACATGTGATTTAAATCAGTCAAGATGCAGTCTGATTGCACTTAGCTTTGGGGAAATATTTATTTATTTATTTATTTATTTATTTATTTATTTATTTATTTATTTATTTATTTATTTATTTATTTATTTATTTATTTATTTATTTATTTATTTATTTATTTATTTATTTATTTATTTATTTATTTATTTTCAAAATTGTGCCCAGGAAATTTTGAAATGGCACAAATGAAATATTTCCAATGTGCCCTGGCGCCAGGCCCACTACAAAATTCTAGATATAATACTCACCCTGATTCGTTTAATGGTAAATGTGATAAATGTGACAAAGTCAAATAATTCAAACCTAATTTGCAACCCTGCAAACTGTTTATCAATGGCACTCTAAATCTCACAGTTTAACATAGGTGTGGCCATTTTGAAAGCCAGTGGGCATAACAGGAAATCCTGTTTTGGTTGATAGCATAGTTTATGGGTTAGTTTATGGATAAAGGGAAAGTGTAGTTAAACTATTCTTGCATACAGGAAATCCAACTTTCAAGTTCATATTTTTACATGATGTGTACTGATTTATTAAACAATAAATTGAAATGACAATTGTCATGATGTTTTAAGTTTAATTGGATCGTCAAAAGGTATGGACACAATAAAATCATCTGTTTTATTTATTTATTTATTTATTTATTTATTTGTTATTTGTTATTTATTTATTGATGTATTATTTATTTATTTATTATTTTTATTTATTTATTTATTTGTTATTTTTATTATATATTTATGTATTTTTTATTTATTTTTTATATTTTTTATTTATTTATTTAAGCATTGCAAATTTGAACCTTACAATACCTAGCCATGGTGCTATTCTAGTCTGCCATTGTGATTGTATCAACATACTTCACACTCACGTTCACAGACTGTACTTTATCTGATTATTTATGTGCTGACATCTGGCACTCGAGCTTAACCTACACCATCCTGGATAAATTTCATTGTTTTCTTCATACAAAGGTTTTGTGCATGCCATATATAGTATAGGATGAGGAACTGATGTTGGATTTTACTGCTGTTGTTACGCTCACATTTATCCCGTGGTATGTATCCAATATATAGAAGCTTTATTGCTAAGCAAGAAGGACAATCTCACAACACAGAGCAAGGAATGTTCTTAGACACCTCATGTTGATGAGTTAAATTTGAGTCCTTTTTTAAAACATTTAATTGTTTCATCATGTGATGTCAGTCTTGCTATCAAGCACTAGTCATCTTCAAAATGTCATCTCATTCTCTACCCGTGAAGGTCTGGGTTAGAATGAACCTTCTGTAACCCATGCTTGTCGTAAGAGGCGACTAACGGGATCAGGTGGTCAGGCTCACTGACTTGGTTGACACATGTCATTGGTTCCCAATTGCGCAGATCGATGCTCATGCTGTTGATCACTGGATTGTCTGGTCCAGACTTGATTATTTACATACCGCTGCCATATAGCTGGAATATTGCTGAGTGCGGCGTAAAACTAAACTCACTCACTCATCTCATTCTCAGTATCCTTAAGTATTTTGATGTTAATTAGACATAGGTCATCAAAGTATTTATGATTAACAGTCTGAGCCATAGCGTGTACTCACAATGGCCTTCTGTCTCTTGTATGTGAGTTGGTTGGGTATGCTTTGTGGTACTAAGTCATGCACTTGACCCAAATTAATTCAATCACAGAAAAACCAAGTCAATCAGGTGGGAACATGGTGGGTATGATTATAGTGTACCGTAAAATGGCAAGTCGTAAATAAACAGGTTTCTTGATCACAGATTGCACAGTTTCGTCATTGTTCTAAAGAGATTATAACGGATGAACCTTGTAGTTAGCAAGTTGTAAAGTTTATGATTTAATTCTAACATTATGCTGATAACTCAATATAGAGAATCCTCAACTAAACAGGAGATCTAGGCCTGGAGAAGAGATGCATGTCTTGACCCAGTCACAGCTCTCTGCAACCCAGGGCTGAGCTAGTGTTTGGACTTCACCATTGTAGCCACCAAATTCTTACCTGTAAACATCAATATTTTGTACTAATGAAAATGAAAATAACTTGCAAATCCAATGTCAATTTAAGATTGTGATTTGCTAGTTATAACAAAATAAAAATCAGATGATGTTAGGCCTTCACATTAAGCAGCAGTGTTTCTTCATCATCATCATCATCATCATCATCATCATCATCATCATCATCATCATCATCATCATCATCATCATCATCATCATCATCATCATCGAACTGGTGCAAATTGACAGCAATACATCAACATTAACAACAGTATTAAAAAAAGGTTTTATGAATGCTCTTTGTTATTTGACATGTTCTAAACAAGCACAGATGTATCAACGATGGTAATTCTCAGTGTATTGCATGTTGTGATAGAGCTATGTGTCATGCATGCTTGTAATGCAGTTGTAGTCTAAGGAGTGATAGGGACCTCTAGCCAAATGAGTGAAGTGTTTCCAGGCAGTGCTGAAGGTCTGGGTTTGACTCCCATGTGGAATCACTGTATGACAATCATTGTTGACTCCACTGAAATTTCACATGTAACTAAACAGCTGCTTTTTAATCACACAATATCACATGATCATCAGGTGATTCATATTTTTAAATTCAGAATTTTCTTTGGTATTATTATGTGTAAAAAACACATGGTTGTGAGGCATATGAATGTTCCCAACATTTTTCCACCTTAAAAAGTATCGGAAAAGTCAGTTTATATTTTCCTTTTACTAATTATCAGGTTGATGGAAATGTTAAACCAAAAACGTTTAATCACCTTGTGTTAATTACAATCTGAACCACTGCGTAAGGATTGGTAGTGTTATATTCTGTGGGACTTGGTTCGTTGGGCTGCTTTAGTATTTAAGATATCTCAAGTATGGGGAGTAATATTTGTCTCTGCATGAAGTCCTAAAGTTAAGGGGCGGTGGGGTAGCCTAGTGGTTAAAGCGTTCACTCTTCACGCAGAAGACCTTGGTTCAAGGCCCACATGGGTACAATGTGTGAAGCCCATTTTGGTGTCCCCTGCCATGATATTGCTGGAATATTGCTAAAAGCGGCGTAAAACCAAACTCACTCACTCCTAAAGTTAAACAATTGTATTTCAGTGTAAAACTGATTTCCATATTTTTTAAAAAGGCTAATAAATAAATTGTTTTGTGGATACACGATGTAAGGTCTCATGTCAATTCTTGTTACACTTTGCCAGTTGCACATCACCAACAAACTGCCAAATGCATTTATTCTGTCTGCTTTCGACTGTTTGAATTGGGACTCCAAACACTGACATTTACCGTTCCATTTAGCTGTTTCTATATATACCACATATTTATTATAATAAGCCCCTGCCCAAATGTCACATGTTTGCACAGTGATCTATTGATCAAGAGCTCCCAACAGGGTTGGTGTTTGCATGTGCGGAGGTTTATTGACTCCTGGTACACAGCTGGCTGTTGAGGTTTAATCTTGTAGATATCATATGAAGGCATCGGTATGAAATAAAAGGCACAAAGGAATGCATGCATGCATATTCGTTTTCATATCTGTGAGCTAGTATGTATTATTGCCGACATCTTACAATACACTGTAAATAGCTGCAAGATGGCTGATGAAGCATTCAGCAATAACCACTTACGATCTTTATCATTTTTTCAATGCAATATTAAACTGTCAAGTGTCAAATTTAAGAACAAGTGCTTCCTTTCTGTTCGACACCATGATTATTATTTAGCTTTCATCTTTAAATTTGTTTCTGCACATGCTGAACACATATTTTTTATGCAATTTCAGAATGATTCTTAATGTTACATATATTCAATGTGTGCATCATTAAATCTTCCACTATTGTGATTGACTGACTTGCAATCAAAATTTAGTGTTTTTTTGCAGAAAAGATTTGTGATCGGGAACCACTTTCCTAATGATGCTGAATATATACACAGTGTGTGTGGTTATAATTTTCTGCTATTGTGATTGACTGGCATTTGACCTCATTACTAAAGAGATTTCCTGTGAAATTGCACAAGAGCTTCTTCTTCCCAATTTTACACTATTTGTGACAATGAAACATAATCTGGAATTATTGCATGTTGAGGGGTGGTGGGGTAGCCTAGTGGTTAAAGCGTTTGCTCGTCACGCTGAAGACCCGGGTTCGATTCCCCACATGGGTACAATGAGTGAAGCCCATTTCTGGTGTCCCCTGCCATGATATTGCTGGAATATTGCTAAAAGCGGCATTAAACTCACTCTCTCACTCGTTCAGGAAGAGAGATGTAGCCCTTTGTGAATTATTCACTGCAATATAGTTTATTAATAGATCGTGTTCACATTTGCTTGGTAAACAAACTTGTGGAAAGTTATTACGGTACTCCAGCTGAATACCCTGAATAGAGGCATTACACTTTTATACTACTTATTCATTTGTTTGTTTTAAAAAATATTTCATGCATATTTGTACTCAAGGAACTCAAAAATGTTATATAATGTTGATTTATTTTGCTTTTTGCTTATTTAACACAAATGTGTGGTTCAAGGTATTATGTGAAGCATAAAAGTGTGTCAAGTATGCACAAATATTTAGAATAGACGTGTGTGAATAAATACTACTGTCTATTCATCATAGCTTTTGTGCCAATTTACACTCGTCAGATGGGTGCACAAAGTATGTGGTCTAGACTAGCAGTTGTTTGACTTCCATTTTTATGGAAGCAGCGGTGGCTGAGTGGGTTAGATGGCTGACTTTGTGTGCTGGTGATTAGGGGCCAGACTCTGAGGGTGTGGGTTCGAATCTTGGATGGGACTGAACCGGACAAAAGTACTGGAAGCTGAATTTTATTGAGAAAGGGTAGTCCCAAATATGTTATATACTGTAGAAAGAAAAGATACTGCTTCTTAATAGGTGCACAATAATATTATACTCTGTTTAAAATCTGTATAAGAGTAATCTTCTTGAATGTTGTTTAAGGGACCATCATCTTCTAAACCTAGGGATGATAGGTTTGACTTTGAATATCTTGACT